GCACAGAATTATTCAATCACACAGTGTTCTGAAAGTGCATTGTCCTCTATTCTGCACTTTAGATGAATGACTGCTTAGGTGCCACTGGTGACGGCACTGTATCGATACTTTTAAAAACAAGTATCGATACAACATTTAAGTATCGATACTTTTTTGAGTTTCGATACTTTTGACAACCCTATTAGGTAATAAATATTATAACAGTTAGCTAGGGGAGAATGTATTCAGTTACTGGAGAAACAGGGAGTTAATTTACTATATTAGAGTAAAACAACAACTTCAATGTGCAAAGTTAACCAACTTTGGATTATATTTATGCTGTGCTCCAAAAAGCACAGATTTCCTCTATAGTAAGCTGAATAAAACAAGCAAACTAATATAATGATCAAATATTTTTAAAAATAACTAAAAGTAACAGTATTGATGAACTGGACATTGTCTCTTGCCAAGAGATGAAATGTGACAATATTCTGGGACTTTAAACTTCAGCGCACTGTATCCCATTTCAAAGTTTTACTACAAAACAGTACAATAAACTAAACTAGAAATTCCCCAAGGAAATTTTGGAGGTGCCTGCCACTTGGTGTGTATTCCTGTGTGTGTAATATTTGGACTGGCACCAAAGGCTTAATGAGGTTAGTTGGGTTCACCTTACATTGCCATATATCACCATACGAGGTGGCAAATTGCTTGTTCATAGTTGATGGCGACTGGCATCACCATACTGAGTGATGTCTTGCGTTTCCTCACCTACTGGGGACTGGCTTCACAACACCTGTTGGCAACTAGCATTGCCACACCTAGTGGACGACTGATGTTCCAACAGCTAGTGGTGGCCGCCTTTACTACACCTACTCATGACTGGCATCCCAGACCTATTTGCGGCTGGAGTAATGATAAAAATCCCTATAGTGCAATAAATTCCAGAGTATATTATATAGGCTATTACATTGTAATGGACCGATAGTCTTATTTTCAAGGTCTAGCAGGGCAGTGTCTTTAACATTAGCCTCTGAAGAGATATGGAATCCATTTACAATTGTGGAATCTCTCTTTTTCCTTCTTATTAGATTAGTCTATGCTTTATTACAGAGGAAATTGGAGTGCTTTATTTAGAAATGTGCATTCAGGTGTGCTGTTCACAGGCTTTGGTAGTGTAATTTTAAGTAATTGGTTGAGTTTCAGGCATACCTATGAGCCATATGTCGCAATGAATTGGTGTATATAAGGAAGAGGCTTTTATTTTATAGAGTCCCTGGAGTCTTACTTTAAATGTCTTTCAGGGTTGTGTATTAAGGAAAGGGTCAGATACAACAGTGATACATAATGAATTTCCAAATGTTAAAGGAATAGTACACCCAAAACATGATTAGCCTTCATTTTCTACTCACCCCCATGCTGAACAACACTCTGGAGTACTTTTTTGATATC